AAAGGGTAGCACATATGCTGAAATTTAAGAAATGAATTCTGCCTCTTAAAAAATGGCTTTTATACTTAGAGGGAGGAGCAGGTCTGTTTGCGCTCTTTCAAGGCATCTGCATGTTTTCTGTGTTGGATCTGTTTAGAGGCACATAGGAGACAGTCGTCTCCACTCTCTTTTCCTGGTTGTACCTTGATGTTCTCAGTGAGAAAAAGCTGATTCTTGCTTGAAATGCCATACATATATCCAAAATAGTGCATTCTGAATAATGAAATGACATTGAGTGTGCTATGTTTCATGGTAAATTAGTATAACAAGCTGTGAGCTGTGCTCATCAGATGTAAAAGCAGTGATATGCTATCACAATATCATTTATATACATGCCATGTGATTGGTTCCTGTAATGTGCACAGCAATATTAGTTTAAGGTGACCAACAGACTCACAGTTTAGAGATGCATTTTTCTTCTGAATCAGCAGAGGATATCTTAACATAGCAAGACTTTTCTCTCCTGGAGATAATAGGAAAAGTCCCATTGATTTTGATAAGATAGCAAAGAGTTAACTAGGTGGTTTCATTACTGATGTTATCAGCTGATATGGAAGAAATATAAGCCCTACTTGAAAGTGTATAAAAACTACCAGTAATTTATTGCTAGAATGCATTTACTTTAAGGGAAGTCAACACATACATGGTCAGGTGCAGTTTTACTGGTGTTAGCAGAAGAACATCAATAGTCCAGTTCACGTTTTGCATGCAGACACCAGATATATGGGTAGCTTGGGTGCCTAACTGCAATTTTAAGTTGGTGGAATGGGGAAGCGGTGAGTCAGGACCCTAACTTCTCTTCAGTTCTCAGCTAAAGTGTTTCAGTCTCATGTATGAATGCAGCTAGGAGCATTGTTTCCCAGGAGAAGAAAAAAAACGGAAAAGTTTCCCAATTGAGCAGTTGGGTAAATGAAAGGAAATAAGCCTACAAACAATACCAAAAAAAGCTGTAAATGGAGGTGATCTGACTCTTATTCAAAACAAGGTTTGATTGTCCGCCTAGAAAGAATTTTGACCTTACTGACTCCTATAAGAGAAGTTCCTTCTAATATATGTTGCTGTGTGTTGGAAGAAAAAGGCAGAAAGAATTTGAGTGAGATCTGAGCACAGAGATCTATTAGTGTGGTGCTTACAGAAATAAGATCTTAGTAGAAATAAAAGAAGAAGATTTTCAGACATTCCGAGAGTTACATTAGTCTTTGAAGCCTAAGCAGATAGCCCATATTTGGGTAGACAATACGCGGTTAAAATTTAACAGAAGTTACCGAATGCCAGTTTATTAGAATGGATTGAACACGCTGCTTTCCATTTGAGATTAAAGTTTTTGGAATGCTGAGATACAAAACCTCATCAGATTTAAGAACTAAAAAAAAATGCTAAAAATCTACCACACACTCAGTGAACAGTAAAAGAATTGATTATTTGTAATGGCTGGTTTATGCAAATGAGAGATCTTTTTAGATGCAAATATTGCTTAATTAACATACTCACACACAAAAAATACAAATGTTTTACCATTTCCCTATAGTTAGTTTACCATTATTGAAGTTGCCTCAACTTTTTCCTTGCAGCAAAATTATGGTGCAAAATGCATTCCAGTACGAGACCGTGGCTTTCTTGTGCAGGTAGGATGTCATATCTTACCCATTTATGAAACACTGTGGAGCATGAGCTGACTGGTAATTATTTTTAAGCAGATGTTGTTATTCTCATTTTCATTGTTCTCAGACTATTGAATTTGCTGAGCAGCGGATACCAGTATTGAATGAATACTGTGTAGTTTGTGATGAACCCCATGTGTTCCAGAATGGCCCTATGCTGAGGGTAAGTGGTGTGCTCGTTGGGATAAACAATGCATTTTGTAATGCCTTGAATAGCAATAGGCCACACAAACCTGTTATAAAACTGTTTATTTGTTTCAGATGCCTTTCATCCTAATATCCTTTTAAGATGGAAAAATGTAATGCATATTAACAAGGTTCTGTTGTAAACTGGAAAAAAAATGCATTGCAAGCAAGGGAGATAGAAATCAGGCTTGTGTAATGTCATAGAAACATAAAGGGGGGGACGTATTTCACTGAACACTACTGTGCTACAGTAGTCACATCCAGGTAAGGTGTGCTTTCCTGATCCTCTGGCTTTCTTTTAGAAGCTGAGGGTCACCTCAGTCCTTGAGCTCTTACCAAGCCATGACCAGGGTATTCAGATATCCTGGTGTTAATGCCACAAGGCTGTGAAGTTCTTCTGACTTTCTTTTGTTCATGGGCCACTGTAATTAGCTGTCCTCCATGATGTGATAAAAAAGACAGTAGAAGGAGATGCTCTGTGAAGCGTCTGATCTAGCAGTGACCTAGGCCAGGAGCACTGTTGTGGTTCAGTATGCCCAAAGTCTGGCCGGTTAGGGAACTCTTCCTTTCATTCCTGTGTAACTGAGAACCAGGAATTTTGCATGATGAACTTTTTACCCTCTTGTGCTGTTGGTGAATGCACGCAGTGAAAATTCGTTGTGAGAGGCACACTCTGCCTGTAGCTCCTGGATCAGCGTAGCTTTGTGAAAGAGTATATTAGGAGAATAGAATTCTTACCTTTAGGACTGATCTTGCAGTTTAGAATCCTTCTCATTTCACCTATCTAGAATCCTATGGAAACCTGAGTAACCGTAAAAGATTAAAGCCATGGAAGACTGTTTAATACCAGTATGTGAATGATCTGACACCTGCCAATTTCTCCAGTGTGGTGAGCAACTGTACATAAGTGGAAGCAGACATCATCTATGGTAGTTTCTTGGAACTAAATTCAGGGAGGTTATTGCTTACATGGTAGCGGAAGTCCCCTCAGCATCATCCAACATAACACTCAGTGGTGCCACGGTCAGGCATTCTGACAGCAGCCAGGGTGTGCAAATAGGCTGCTAATAGGATTTGAAAAACCATCCACATACTCAGTTAACACTGCTTTAAGTCATGGTTAAACTTCTGTGCTTTTGAAAATCCTATCAGGTGATTTTTTTACCTCTTCAAGCTCTTATCCACCTTTTAAAAACATGGTTTTCTACCAGATTTATCAGCAACCAAACCATGATTAGAAGCTGGTAGAAAAGGCATCAGTTCCTGGTTGTTCATCTTTGAATGCACTGCTGTTCACATTACCTGTGAAAGGATGAGATAAGACAAAGTGAGTAATGTTTGGATAGTGACTGAAGTTTGGATAATATAATTATTTAAATTATTGGGTTTTATCTGTTGTCCATAGGACAAAGCAAACAGTAGAATTTATTCCTGATCACATGATGAACTATTAAAAGAAAACAGAATGGAAAGTCATCTGCTCTAAATAAAAAAAATAATCTTAATTCTTCTTGCTTTCCCACCTTAGGGATTAAAATCCCTCAGAATTACTTTGTCTTCATCTTAAAGAGAGATCATTTTAGCTATCTGTTTGAGAGTTTGTCAGTGCTTCAAAACACTGAGGAAAGTGCAAGCCTGTTTGCCACTAAACATGTATTCATCAGTGCCTTTGCTAGCAGCATAAGCTAGCAAGCTTTGCAAAAATGAAAGGATGTCCTTATATAACCCAGGGAGAAGGAGGTAGCGGGAAGAAATGTAACATGCTCTGTGTATGCTTGAATGACTCAATAAGCAATATAGAGCCATTAATGAGTTTGCAGTTCTGTAGAAGGTGAGAAAGGATCTCAGTTTGAATTGAGCATGAGCTTGCCAAAGGGTCTTAAGGAAATTTATGCTTCACTCTGCTGAGAGCTCTGGCAAAGGCAGCCTAAAGTAGTCAAGTGTAGAGTTTATTTACATGCATCAGATGCACGCACACACACGCATACATACACACACATATATAAAATGTGTATAAAGAGAATAAAGAATGACTCGACCGAAAGAGCACTTAATGTTTAATATTGCTGCAACAGCAGATCTCAGAAATACAGTATTTTATTAAGCAGAATCATAGAATCATAAAATCATAGAATGGTTAGGGTTGGAAGGGACCTCAAAGATCATCTAGTTCCAACCCCCCTGCCATGGGCAGGGAAATCCTCCACTACACCAGGTTACTCAAAGCCTCATCCAACCTGGCCTTGAACATTTCCAGGAATGGGGCATCTACAACTTCGCTGGGCAACCTGTTCCAGTGCCTCACCACCCTGAATGAAGAATTTCTTCCTTATATCTAATCTAAATCTGCCCTCTTTCAGTTTAAATCCATTGCCCCTTGTCTTATCACTACATGCCCTTGTAAAAAGTTCCTCTCCAGCTTTCCTGTAGGCCCCCTTTGAGTACTGGAAGGCTGCAGTAAGATCACCCCAGAGCCTTCCCTTCTTCAGGCTGAACGGCCCCAACTCTCTCAGCCTGTCTTCATAGCAGAGGTGCTCCAGCCCTCGGATCATCTTCATGGCCCTCCTCTGGACTCGCTCCAGTAGCTCCATGTCCTTCTTATGTTGGGGACTGCAGAGCTGAACACAGTATTCCAGGTGGGGTCTCATGAGAGCAGAGCAGAGGGCTTTCATTTAAGGCAAGGCTACATGCAGTATAGCCTTATGTCGCTTAAAATGGATCCCATGTGTAGTGTCCTTGGCCTTCATAAAGAGCTTTAGAGTGCTCATACTTTTGATACCACAGTAACTTCACCAGATTTCATAACAATCAGAACCTTGCTATGGTCTGCTTATAGTTTTAGATTCTGTGACTATATTCCATTTTCTACCAGTGTACATATCTCAGAGATGTTACTTAGATAGGCGCTGTCTCTACTTGGTTGCATCACAAGAGATGCCACCAACTAAATAGCTCTGGATGATTCACCAGTCTCCTCCTTTAAAGACTAGTTCCTCCACAAAAATGCACACAGAGTCGTGTCTGGGTGTGTATCCTTACTGATGAGTTTCCCTTCCACCTTTTAGACCTTTATTTCAACAATAAAGAAGGCATGTGAATTTATAAAAGCGTAGCAAGGTTATTACTTGAGAAGTTGTTGTAAAATTTATTTAGGCCTGATTTTGTGGTATTTAGTGGAGTTTTATGCAATTGCAAAGAAGCCAATACGGAATTTGATTCGGTAAGCCTCCAGTATGTCAGCCTAACACCTTTCCTGCACTACAGTATATTTAATTAATTGTCTTGAAATATATTTCTAAAAACTCAACAATTGCCATCACACATAAATTACACTCCTTTAATACTGTAAAATCTTATACCTGGGTGTCATTTTTTTGTGCTGCTTATTAGTGACTTGCATAATTCAGACGTCTCATCCTCAGGACAGATGGAGATACCAAATAAAACTGAGAGATAAAGTTTTTCCTTTCTCCAGATTTGCTCTTCAGGCTATGTTTTATATGTTGGGTGTAAGGTATCTTTAAATCAGTCTCTCTCCGCACAAGCTTTATTCTGAGTATTGTGTTTCTTTTTCCTAGATAACCTTTTTCGGGGAGGTGTTCCATTTTTATTATCTATTTCAATTTACTTTACTTTCTTAAATTCTTGACATCTTCTTTGCCATAAGATAAGAGCAACTTGAAGACAACAAGATGTGTCTTTTGTTATAGCTTAATTTCGACACTAGATCCACATGGCAGACATACCATTATATGGAAGATGTCTGTTGCACAACAGCTGCATAACACAATTGTGTATGCTTGGCTTTATGCTCTTACAGTGTACACCTGTCTTGTTCTAGAGTCTACGGTACTAATCTAATCACTCAAATGTTCCCTGCTGGTTCAGGGATCCTGTTGTGCACAGGAACCTTTGGATGTTTTTAGGCTTAGTTGTTTATTGAGGATAAATAAAGAGGCTACCTTAGTGGCTTACTGAAGATGAATAAGAGCAAAATTCTTAGATTTGGCTTGGGAATTTCTTTACAGAGCAAAGTGTCTATCTTTCAGAAGAACTAGTTTTCTTTTGAGGTCCAAAAGTTCCCTAAAATACAGAAGACCAGAATTATAGATAAAATTCCTGTGTGTACTCCATAAGTGTGTGTGTAGATAAAACACATTATGTAGATGGAGTAACTTCAAAACACTCACAAACCTAATGCTCCGACAAGGAACTGCAGCTGTATTGCTGTGAAGGAGGAAGGACAAAGGTTCTCTGGAATGGAAGAAGGAGTCTTAGAAAAGTACTGTAACACATCATGAAGCTGTGCTTTCTTTTTAAAGGTCCATGGTCCATTGCTTCATTCCATCTCCTTTTTTAAAAAAACAGTAAAGTAGGCAATGCTTTCCTGTAGGTGTTCACATCTTTCCTATGAGACATGAGGATCAATGTAATTTCTCATCATAGCATGTTTCTTTACTGTTTATTTTAAGACCACAGTGAGATCTAATGATTTTTTACAGAACACCCAAAGTTACAAAAGCTAAGTTGGATGTTTAGAGATACATACTTAAATAGAATGTCACTGAAAACTGCAAATTCCCTGAAATCACTGCATGTCATGATTTGCAGTCTTTCTACAAAGCACGGGGAAAATTCAGTGAATATATGGATCCTAGGAAGAAAAAGTATTACTTAACCTCTTGCATAACAGACTATGCTATTTCATGCAGTTATTCCTAACAGTGATCTAAATCCTACATATTTCACTCTTCATAGAAGGATTAAGAACCAGCTTTGACTCATTAGCAAGGGTTGGGACTGCAGTCTTTACATCCAAACAGCCCCCTTATCTCATGTAAAGAATCACAGTGCATCCTCCTGCAAGGCAACCTGTGCTGCACAGCTCTCAGGAGCTCTGTCATCAGTGTCTTCTGAGGTAGCTCTTTGCTCAGCTTTAAAAAACAGTGGAAAGTTCAAGATCAGGCATAGGTTTTG